CGGCGAATCTGTCTCCCTCCCGACATATGCCCATACCAATTTACCATCGAAATGAATGAACAATTCACAAAAGAGTGCCACGCTAATCATCCCCGCTACTTTTGCCAGCAGAAGTTCATTTGTCTGTGCGTCCTGCACCTCAACATTGACTCGTCAATTTTAATAATAGCACTCGGCAAACATTCGCTGGCTCCACAAACCCCAAATGACAGAAGTACTAACAAGGTGAAAAAACTATTCGGAAGACCTCGACCCGTTACCCACTGGAGATGCGAAGTAATAAATGGAATCATGCAGCCCTCAAAAGGAATTACCACAGCCACGTACGATAGTACTGAATTCCATAACATGGTTATTCAGCAGCATTCTGCGCAGTCTGATGGAAATTTCCCAGTTGTAAGCTATCTGCCGGTGAAGCATTTTCGAGGTCTCAGGGTGAAAACATTCGGGAAAGTGTGATGATGATGCTCAACATGAGCCAAGGAAAAAGATTAAATTCATATCAAATGAATTTGCCAAAGAAAGTGCCGGGCCGGTAGAAAATGCCGGAATATTAAGGTTGCCAGAAGAGTGACCATCAGGCCATGCATTACTGGCCAAAGTAACTGGGAAAAATAACAGCTGTATAGCTGAAGAATCAGATTATGCATTATAACTGATCCGGTAAAGTGCCTTATGGCTTAACCCAAAAAAAAAAAAACTAAGAAAGCTCATAATAGTGAGTACAGAACAAATAAAATTTTCGAATCCCTTGATAATTAAAAGTTTCGGACCTATGAGTAACAATTTACGATAAAAAAACAAAAATATGAAAAGCTACCTCCATAGGGCAATAATCAGTATCAGGAATAACATGCGGATGTGCTGGATGCTCAACGCTGGACGCTTCATCTGCGTTCTGCTCCATAACGAGAGCGTTTTCTGTTTTCTGATTCATCGTACCACTGGATCCGCTCCCTTTTGGACTGTGTGCTGAGCCGGCATCTCTGCAAAACTGTTGAAAACGGGTGAATAGATCAAAAATCGAAATAAATGCATGCCAGAAAACAAATTTATGATTTTATTTCATGAAGGAGGACGAGTCGATATAAAATGCATATATAAACAGGCCGCTAACTGCACTGACTGTACATTAACAATCGTTACAGGAGTTCTTGATTCTACGTGCACAATATTCATAAAGCAAAGCGTGCAATACGCCCTATTCATCGGATTTTATTGATGGTAGTCATATCCAGACTTTTTATAATTTACGGTCCCAAAAGCGTCGTCGATTCCTTGCTTTTATGCTGTAGCCAGCGCCTACCCCTCTACTTTTAAATCACAAAACGAACCAAAATTAAACAACTTCTGGAATGCAAATTAATTACACTACATTCGAAACAAAGGAAAAAAAGAACAAATTACAGGATTTGAGTGAAAAAGATCACAGAACCGTAGAGAGTACGAAAAAACATACCTTGATGAAGCAGGGGATGACCGACCGGACAGACTCTCCTGTATTGTTTCGAAAACTTGTGAGCTGCGAGAATCGGGATAACTATTGCTGCTCAGCTGACAATCAAAAGCGCTCCGAGGAGAAGTTACATAAAAATCGGATAAACTAGCTTCCAGCGGATCACTTAACACGTATTCGCCTGTTTCCTCAATTCCAGTTGACGCGTGCATGGTGCTACTGCTGCCTGAAGATATTCATAAATTCCGGCAAAAGCAAAATAATTTTTGTGAACAGTTAGGCCTCTTGCAACTCCCTGGTTTTCTTTCCGCATCACCAAAATAGCGTGAAAATGAAATCCACATCTCTTGCTGATTATCTTCGTAAGAACAAAAATTAACTTTATTAAAATGGCAAACGGCCGATGCACCTTGTTCTTT